CAGATTCATTCAGAGATCTACTCTATCTGCCGTTGTCATAGCTCAAGTTGAATTCTGGCCTGGTTTATAACTGAAAAGCCTTTGTAGATGGAGGAATATTTCTAGCAGAAAAGATCTTCCTTGAGTGTTGTGGGGTCCAGAGACGGTGGAAACCTTCGTCTCACCTTTGCAGGTGATCCAACGGCTTCAAATGCTCTGGAGAGCCATTAGTGGGGATGGCCCTGCAAGCAGCAGAGAGCAGTTGGGTCCTGTCCCACTATATGCTGCAGTACAGCTAGTCCTTGACCATTCATTTAGTGACCATCAAGGAGGGAAGCAACCTGGAATCAAGGAGACATTTCCTGATGGTGGGAACAATTAACCAGTGGAACAACTTGCCACCAGAAGTTGTGGGTGCTCCATCACTGGAAGCTTTTAACCCAGGTCCCTTCCAGCTCTATTCTGATTGATCTAATTTTACTGGACCTCTCATTAGATCTCCATTTTGCCCACGTTCCCCGAGATGGTGATTTGATCGTTCTCTCTGAATGCCCCCGTTTATGGCCACTTACACAGCCAGGACTCGAGAGGCAAATCCCTGCCACTGGCTTGTCCCCCCACCCCAAAAAAAACCTGGGGGACACGTCCTCCCACTGTCCCCTGTATCTCCTCACCCTCTGCAACTAGGCTGGTTTTAAAGGCTCCATTATGGAAGTGAGGCTTCCCCCCTTTGTCCTGTCTCACACAAATGGTGCGGCCTGTAGACAACATAGGGTGTCCTGAGGCCTCCCCAGGGGAGATCGCCTGAAGGGGGTGCTTCTTATCCGCAAATCCTCTGGCTCAACTTGGGGGTGTGGGAGCATTTGGTAGTAATTTTATTTAAAAAATTAAAATCGCACCAATAAAAAGTAACATCAACTGGAAAAAAAAAAAGAATAAAACGAATAGAATATGGAGAAAACAGGAAAACTAGAAATAAATAGTAAAGAAAAAATAAAAATATTGTAAAGAGAAATAACTTCTCATAATCCTTGCAAGAAATATAAACAATTTTAATAATTTATCACCTTCTAGTAAAGTACAAATGTTCTCAACTTCCCCTAAGCCATCTTATTTAAAACAAATCCATAAAGCGTCATGATTTCACTCCTGATGTCAGCAAAGGTCAATTAAGAGTTATCTATCTTAACCTTGATTAGATAAACCAACTTTATATTTCTTCCTTTTACTTCTTACAATTGTGATCTTTAGTACCTTCAAATAATGTCATAAAACTTGATTTTTTTTTCATTTCTTCTTTGTTCCTTCAAAATTTTTCAAAACTTTAGCAAAACTCTTATCTCTTGAAGTATTTTTGTATATCTCAATTAATCATTAAAACATCAGGCTTCTTTTGTATATCCAGTTTAGCATCTTTTTCTCAGTCATTCTTGTACAAATCCATTTTTACTCAGTTTTACTCTTCTAGGTAGAATTTGCTTCCATAAACAAGTTTAGACACAAACTATCTACCATATAGAAGCAGAACTTTTAAAATGTAACTTCTGATTTTATTGTTGAAAAATATGCTTTACCATATTCAAATGTTAAAACATTTTGCTTTATGTTGTAATGGTAAACTGAGTGTTCTTTTCCTTTAATTGTATTTCTTAGTTCCCTCTAAGTTTTAAAAATCTAATCATGTTTCAAACCAAAAGTATTTTCCCATGGAAAGGAATGGGAATGTGGTCCATTCCTCTCCCTCCCCCGTGTTGTATGCATGTTGTCTGTGTATGTAGTTCTTAAAAGGAAATTCAGTTTTTAAAATCTGTCAATCCAAAGGTGGCTTAATAGCTAAAAAGCAGCAAACAAAAGCCATTTCTGACCGTGATTTAGAAAAGGACGTGCATGAACTCTGCCAACCCACAATTTCACCAGAATGGCTACTTCCTTGTCTCCCAGAGCTTTGAGCCCACAGCAGGCAGCTGCCTTGCAGACTCATGAGGTGCAACTGTCTGGGGCGATTGGGAGTGACCTCAAGCCCCCTGCTTATCCAGAGAGGAGTTACAAAGAGTTGCTCTATTCGTGGGCTCTACCTTCGGCTGCAGTTGCCAGCGCTGCTACTCACAAAGACATCTTCAGTCCATTTCTTCTCCAGAAGTCTGTCCCCAAGGTGCTTTTCCAAGAGGCAACTGGACTTTCTGGTTTTTCTTTTGTTTCGCTTCTTTGCTGAGAAGCGAAATGTCTTCATAGAAAAACCAGGAAGTCCAGTTGCCTCTTGGAAAAGCACCTTTGGGACAACCATGACCTGGATGATGGCTGAGGATCTCCAAAGACATTTCCAGAAGTCTGTTTCTGCCTGTTTCCTGTGCATGCAGCTTCTACCCAGATTTCTTCTGCCACGCCTCCATCATGTGTGGTTCTAAGGGAGGTCAGAACCTGCTTCAAAGCCACTGCGCCTGCTCCCTCCCCCTGCCTTTTTTCCTTTTAATGGGATGACCGATAAGCAGAAGCCTTAAGACAGACTAGCATACAATATTCCTGGCTCAAAGCCTGTAACCGAAGTGTAATTATAGGAATGTCTTCTCTACTTCTGGAAGCAAATTCCTTTCCCAATGGCCACAGAAGTCCTCATTTCTCATTTCTTTTCTTCATACAATGTTCTTAGCATATAGTTCCCACAACGATGCCCATAACTAGCCCCTTTTTTGAAACTTCAGCTCTTTAACAGCATTCAAGCAGAAGCTGCACAAATGGGGATAATCAGTAGATGGCAGCCAACAGATACAAAACCTCTTTGCTCTAACTGGTTGCTAAGTCACAGTCAAATAAATGACTACAGCTTGAGGAAATCAATAAAAAGTTTAGCGTGGCAGCAAAACAATGATTGGGCCAATTGCTGTACATGGGATAACCAGAACATTGCGCAGACCAACTGGAGGAGATCTCACACCTTGGGGGTATGGTGGACAGAGCTTGAATTTCAGCCAACTTCAGTCCCTTAGAAAGTCGTGTGCATGTTGTATGGAAAGCAGGGCAAGAGTTAGGGTTAGGCCAATTCCATCATTTTACCTCCTGTACATTCCAGCCACACTGCAGGGGCAGCAACTTTTAAGGCAGCATGTGGAGTAGAGCAAACAGCTGTGTGGATCTACTCACAGTCTTTTCAGGGATGCAGCCTCTCCCTGGGTCTGCACGCTTGAGATGCTTATTTAAGGAGTAAGGAGAGTTTTTCCCAGCCTTTTAAAAACTGCATTTTGGCTTAGATCAGTTTTCATTTTATTGCCCACTGGAACAGACTGCAGTGCTGTTGAGCATCTTTCAGTCACCAGCACATTCATTCATACCATATCCATTCTTTACTTACAGATTTATCAACACCCCTCCCTCCCCCTTTTGTACAATATGCTGTGAATTTATCTTTAGGCAATGAAGACTCTGGAAATTTACAGCTTACTTGCACAGGTTCTTTAGGACCAGAAATGGTGAACTGTCTTCAGACCTTCAAGCCCAGAACTAAAGAACCTCAATCTGGCCCAGGCCTGAATCTCTTCTCTTTCTTATATCAGCCTTTATCATCTTTCACCAGCTGCAAAATTTCTTGTTTTCTCCCCTTGTGGGTAAGACCGGCTTCTAATCCAGCCTTATCAAAAACCAATTTCATATAAACTTAGCTTCCCTGATTAAAATAGAATTCTGCATTTACACTATTTATCATTACATTAGTTCAATGATTCAAACCAATTCAAGGTTGCAGACCTCAATTTGTGTGAGCTGAATACAGCACAAAAGGAAGCGCCACAAAGAAATGTAAATGCAACAGGTACAGACGGTGCTTATCAATCCCAAATGATAAAGCTCTTGGTAGGCCAAGTATCTCCGGAGAAGGGAGGCTTCATCAGGAGGTGGGAAAACTAGACAGAGGTGCCTCTTTAGAAGGGAGGGGGAACCCCACTGGCCCGACTCCCTCAGCTGACGCTGTGCGGGTGTGTGAGAGAGAGCAGGGGGGCTTTGCATGGTACAGAAGTACATGAAATGAACTCAGAATAAAACAGTCCCATTCAAAATATTCTTCTGAGCTTTTTGTGAAACTTTGTTTCAAAGAAATTTCCGGGCCTGAGGCGCGGGGTGCCCATTTCTGCCCACCGCCTTCCACCCACCCGCCTGGCCAGGGGCCTCGGCGCTTCTCTTGGGCAGGAGCTCCACGGCAGACGGAGCGCTCCGGAGGTGCCGCCGACGCCGCCCGACGAGGAAGGCCGCCTGCGGCACAGGCAGCGCCCACCGCCCGCTTTTCCAAAGCAAAGTCTCCAAGGAGCCGGAAAGGCTGCCTGAGAAGCAGAGGCGGGAAGGGCCGGTCCCCGCGCCCGGCTGAGGCAGAGCGACGCCGGGGACTGCTGAGCGGCAGCAGCGGGATGGCGAAGCCTCCTCCCTGCGCGGGCTTGGCGGCGGTCCGCGGGCTCCGCTTTCCCCTCACGTCGGGCTCGGCCCCTAGCGGGGCAGCGTCTTGGCCGGCCCGCTCTTGGCGGCGCTACCTCGTGGGCAGCTTCCGCGGGCTCTGCCTTGGCACGTGGAGCTGAGCGTGCGAATGCAGAGTAGCGGCGCTGGGCCGCCGGAGGGCTGCTACATAAAGCCCGAGCCAGCACGGCGCCGCCAGCCACCCAGGCAAGGCCGGCAGCGTTCGCGCCCGGCCCGCTTGCCTCCCTCGCGCCCAGCGTCCGAAGGGAGAAGCGGCGCCGAGCGGAGCAGGCGAGCGGCGGGGTTTAGCGCGGGACGCTGCCAGCTTTCGGAAGGGCGGGCGAAGAAGGCGCAGTCGTCCCCTCCCCGTCAGCGGGCGCCGAGGGCCTGCCCGTCTGGCTCATGCGCGTCGCCCACTTGTTGCTCGTCTCCGCTCGGCCCAGCTGATTGGGCTGCGAGCGCCCCGCTCAGCTCTGCTCCTCCCCGGCCGGCCGGAGCGCGACCTCTGGCTCCCGGCGCAGGCGGGGGCAAAAGGGGCGGCCCGGCCCCGCCGCCCCCAAAGCTGCCGGTACGCGCGCCGGAGCCGCTTCACTCCGCTCTTGTCCGGGGGAGAGAAGCTGGGAGGACGGCGAGCCGCTCGCCTCTTCGTGCGCCTGTCTGCCCGCCGGTCGCGCTCAACTTTCGGCTCGCTCGCTCAGCCGGCGCCCGCCCGCAAGAGAAGCGCCGCTCGGCAGCCGTAGCAGCCCCGAAGCCGGCCGCCCTGCGCGCTTTTTCCGCCGACAAAGTTAATCGTCGCGACAGGCCCGGCGGAGGCAGCGTGGCGGCCTCTCCCCCTTGGCAGCCGCCGCTCTCGTAGGCCGCGCGCTGGGGCGCTTCAGCAGGCCAGCCCCGACTTCCGGATCGGTGTCCCGAAAGCGGCTAGGCCCCTCTCTTGGCGCGGCACCTGCGCGGACCCGGCCCCCTCCCGCCCGCTCCGACGGCTCTTCGCCCTGGAAGGGATGGTCGGCCGCCGCCTCTTTTGATAAACGTGCCCGTGGACGCTCCGCCGAGGACTCTCCGCGAGGGGCGAAGAAGCCGCCCTTGCTACTGAGGAAGCCGCGCCGGTTCGCCCCGCGCACTCACCACCCACGGGCCATGGAAGTCCACGTCGGGCTGGGCAGGGTCTACGGCCGGCCGCCGGGAAAAACTTTCCGCGGGGCTTTCCAGAGCCTTTTCCAGAGCGTCCGCGAGGCTTTCCAGAGTCCCGGGCCCGGCGGAGCGCGACAGGAGGTCGTGGCCAGCGGCCAAAGCGCGGGCTCTCCTTCGGCTGGCCCGTGTGCGCCGGGCGGCCGCCTGCAGGAGCCCAGCCCGCGGCGGCAGCAGCAGCCCGGCTCTCCTTCTTACCTGCCGCTGGATGAGGCTGCGGCAGGCAGCAAAGGGCTTCAGCCGGCCGATCGCGAGCCCCACCCGGCGGCCTCCTCCTCCTCCTCGGCCGCCTCTTCGTCGCTGGCCTTGCTGGTTCCCTCGTTCCAGGGCTGCTCCGGGGACCTGAAAGACATCTTGGCCGAGAGCAGCAGCCTCTTGCCGGCGACGGAAGGGGAGCCGCGCGGCGGCGGGGCGGCGGACGGCGGCGAAGCCAGCGCGCCCAAGGAAGACTACTTGGGCGAGAGCGCCAAGGAGCTGTGCAAAGCCGTCTCGGCCTCCATGGGCTTGGCGGTGGAAGTGCTCGAAGGGCCCGGCGGCGGCGGCGGCGAAGCGGCAACGAGCCGCGGCGACTGCATGTTCGCGCTGCCGGGCGCGCAAGCTCGGCCCGTGGCCGTGGGCGGCTGCAAGATCGTCGAAGCCGAGCAGGAAGGCGGCGGCGGCGGCGGCGAGGGCGCGCTGGCCATGGACGTGCCGGGCCACATCAGCCTCTTCAAGAGCTCGCCTGAGCTGGACGAACCGCCGGCGGGCGCCTTCCAGAGCCGCGACTACTACAACTTCCAGCTGGCGCTCGCCTCGCATGGCCGCATCAAGCTGGAGAGCCCGCTGGAGTACGCGGCGGGCGGCATCTGGGGCGCGCAATATCGGCGCGCCGGGGAAATGCCCGCCTTGGCGCCCCACTACGCCGCCTCTCCGGGCCCGGCCTGGCACCCCTTCTTCGCGGAAGACGCGCAAGTCTACGGCCCGTGCGCCTCGGCCGAGGCCGCCGCCCAGAGCCCCTTCGGCTACGGCAGGGGCCAAGGGCCGAGCGGCCAGGAAGGAGCCGACCTGCCTTCCGAGGTGTGGTACCCCGGAGGCGTGATGGGCAGGATGCCCTTCGCTCCGGCGCCCGGCTGCATCAAGACGGAGCTTGGGCCTTGGATGGAGGGCTACGCGGGCGCCTACGGAGACGTGAGGTAAGGAGACCGACGCACGGGGGGAGAAAAGCGCCCGGGGATCGCCTGCCCGGGAAGCCTCTCAGCGAGGCCCGGGGCCCCGTCCGCAGGCTTTGCGCTCCAGAGGAAGGAGGACACACCCCGCCATTGCAGCGGTTGGCGTTGCGCTTTCCCTGGTGGAGAAAAATGCCGCCCCGTCCGGGGAAGCGCCTTATCCCGCCTCGATTTCCCCTCAGGTGGGTCTCCGGAGGGGCGCTTAGAGCAGGGGCGGGTTTCGGTGGGTGGGCAGGAGTCATGCTGAAGGTCCACCTGCCCCTCTGCTCGCCTGGACGAGGAGCGCTTCCCCTGGGCTTCCCTGAGGGGCCTGGGCTTCTCTTCCCCAGAAGCAGCGGGGGACTGCAGCGCCAGACGGCGGCAGTCGGGCAGCGCCGCTTGTGAAACGAAGCTGCAGCCATTCCCAGTCCGGTGGATCGGTCCCTTTTTCTAGAGAACAGATTACAGGCCCTGAGGATGAGCCAGACTAGGGGCTCTAGGGAACTTCTTTTTAACCTTTTATTTCGTGGTTATGGAAGTTTTTGCAGTAGCCCACAGCATATGTTAAACGATGTAAATCTGTGTGCATAATGTACATTTTATAGCTTGAATTAAGGAAGCATAAAGTCTATATATGTACACGGTTTTAAAAAGCATGCTGGGTAAAACAAATGCAAACCACTTTTTCCTGACAAAATAAATCACTGATATATTTTCTCCTTTAAAAGGAGAGTATTCTACTGGATTAAATAGGATTTACTTCACATAGATAAATTACATAGCTTTATGTTGTTAAAAAGACTAGTCATATATGTTTGCGGGACCCAAGAAAACATCAGTTACTCCAGTGAGATAACTCAGACCTACAGTTTATTTGCTAGAGTATCTTAATTTTAAGAAGCTTATAGACATTAATTTTAGTCTTCTCTCAATATTTTTTTGTCATTTAGTTTAATCACAAATTACTTTCTTTTTGGCAAAAGTGACTCGCAGTAGGTTGTATTTTCCATAGGTACCTTTTAAAAGATCCTGCTTTTAACTAAGCCTACAACATGATTTTGGTTATTGTAGGCAAAAATTTAATCAACCACCTGTGGTATGATTCTCCTTGGTTAACATGGAAGCCAGGATAGGTCCCTTCCCAGAATCCATGGATGGATCTCCAACAGCCCAACTTTCCCAGGTTGCTTTGTTCAGGCAGTGCAGCTTTTCACGAGGGCTTAATTTTATACTATTAATTATTACTAACAATAAAAAGAATGAAACATTCTTACCTAACATTTGATTTGTCCATTTGCACAACTTGTTTAGGTATCTCAATTTTTGTTTCAGTATTCCAGCAATATAAGATATATTTAGTTTACTTTGTTTTGAATAAACTTGGTTGGATTCATATTTTGGTCCATTAAGCCAGTTGACTTGAGGTTCTAGGAACAGAGTTGGCAAAATACAATGGGCAGAATCATCCCAATGGGATTATATCGGAAGAAATCCCGTTAGTTTCATTTATTCCTGGTAAATGTGAATCATTCAGATTGTTATTTAAAGCTACTTAAAGTGGTGCCGTGTTAGCTATAGCATGTAAGTATCCTTATTCTTTAATTTGATCACCTTTCAGATTCAGAAGCTGAGAGTAAGCACACACCACACACACACACACACACACACACACACAAATAGCTGAAGACAAAAGGGAAAAAGAAGAAAAATAAATTAAAATCCAAATTGATTCCAATCCTGAAGAAAAAACTGCAGTGTATAGCGGTGCCTTCAAATTGCATAATGATATAGTTGTGGTAATGCCTAATATTTATTCAGCGATTTCACCAAAATCTAGCTAAGCTGGTGCTGCTCCTGTAGAGAATGGACATCCCAGGTCCCTCTGATCAACTTTGTGTTCCATTTAGGCAAAATGCCTTTGAAAAAAACAATTTCCATGATGGCGAGCTTGCTTCAGATTCTTCTCAATTTCAACATTTAGAGTGTCCACCATTTTCTTCCGGCCCCTTTAACTGCTTCTCGGACCTGAGGAGGAACAGGCAGCCTCAGCCCCATCTTGTGGTTCATGCTTTACTTCGAAGTCCTCTTGATCTAACTCTCTCTTTCCTGGTTGAGGCTACTCTGCAGTTACGTTAAAGTGTTGCTAAGAATTGCAAAGCATATTTGTTCAATGTAAGCAAAATTCTATTGAAAGTATCTTCAGCAGCGTGTTGTGCCTGGAAATTAGTCACCAGCATTTGCTGAAACCATAAGAATTGCAACATAACCTAAATTTCTGGTTAATATATATTATGGCAACTGTTGGTCAGTTAACATGTATGTCTAGTCAGTCCTGCTAATACTTTGTAGGAAAGCTTCATTTCTGTAGCATAAAAAATGGTAGAATCTGAGCTAAAATAAAACAGCTATCGGTGCTTCTTTTTGTGAAAGAAGAAGTTTTGAATGCCTAAAGTACTAAAATTGCCCGTGTGATATAATGCTCGAATATTTCCCATTCTCAGATTCACAATCCGCTTATATAAAATATTCTTATAGCAGTAGGAACCAGACACTTAGAAATTTGATAGGCTAGTACGTAAAAAAATATTTTAGGCTGCCCATTTGTGATAATAATAAAAAGGTATCTTGTAAGTGCTTTGAGTAGCCTTTCCCTTCTTAGCATTTATCTTGGGCCTAATCCAGTTCTCTATGGAATCTAATGGAAAGTTCCCCATTGACGTCAATGGACCTGGATGGACTCTTTACGTTTATGACTGTAGGTCCTGTTGAAATGTTACAGTATGGTGATCCAAAGTTATTTATGATGTGGTTCTTGCAAGGGGCCCCTTTGCCTTTTGTTGGAATGGAACAGCAGATCCTGCTGGTGTGTTCGGTTGCCTTTGGTGTGCAGCATATCCATAACTGTGATTTATAGCAAAACTTCTTTGCTTTCACTGCAATTGGACTACAGATGTTTGTTAGCAGATGGCATTATAACTAGAACAGAAATTCTAGTTATGATGTGTCCAGTAGGAGTTCTCTAACAACAGGTTGGCAGCCATGGTTCTGGTGTGAAATATCTGTATAAAGTGCAAATAGATTTTAGGTTTAAGGAAATCAATCTGAAAAAAGTTAACACTTTGCATCTGGGTCATGCCACGTACTCATGTATTTTGCCACAATACAGAAAATTGGGAACAGGGTTATTTCTCGTGCAGTGATAAAATGGAATCTCCATGCGAGCTTTTCCTTCTGAGGGACTTGTTGTGCAAACTAGGGGCTTAAGTAGTCATGTTTCCATCAAAATGCATGTTTTTGCACCCCTTCGTTACATCAGGAATGGGTAAACATTTGGCCTTAAATCCTGCACCTTCAAAGTGATCAATTTGGTCAGCATTGATGTTATAATTAATATGGCATTGTACAAGTAAAAGCTAAAGACTTCAAGATAAGGCATTTTAAATGCTTAATTTGTTCATTATATGTGCAGAAGTTTGCTTATTTATTTATTTGACTTATTTCATAACTCTCATCTGAGATCGGTGAGGTTCATCTCCCCTCTTATGGGGCAATTTGTACAAGTGTAAAACTGGAGGTCTTTCTGGCTGTCCTTTTGCCCATAACGTCTGCTGGCTAAATTCATTTAGGCTGCAGCCTTAAGCGCTGTGACTGGCGAGTGAATGGAGCCCTTAAGGGCCTTGCAGAGGAACAAAGCGTAACATTGAGTGACCATTTTACAGTATCCTATGAGTCAAGCTTAGAGCCCTTACTGGTATTTTCCCCTATATTTTCTCTCCTTCTGACTTCCACTCCAAAGATAATGAGAACATATGCTGTAGTAGACATTATGGCATGAAACGCATGAAAGGGGAGGGTTTAAGGAGCTTTGATCTTGTAATGTATAAGGGGTAGATTCATAAGGGTAGATTCATTCTTAGATTATTCCCCTCTCCTCAATGTATTCTCCCTACATTTAATTCCTGCAGGTTATGTGAGGCTCTATGTACGTTGCCACTACTCAAATTCATTTGGCTTGTGAGCAGCTTTCAATTTACTCCTTATAGGAAGAAATAGTGCACAATAAAAAATGGGGGCTGAGATTTATTTGTCCTGTACATGCAGTGGCTTCTCATCTAATAAAGTAGTGATATTGTGGATCCTTACGCTCCCTCTCCTCTCCTTTCTCCCCAGATTCTCAGTCAAATGACAAGGTTCAACAGCAGTATTTTCTGTGACCAAAACACAGTTCCATAAAAAATAATTAGCCAAATATATTGCCTGTTTTGTACATTCAACAGCAGGAGAAATTGCTGGTATTTCCTGAATATTCATAATCCAGGTGTGGGTTTCCTTGTCAGTGAAGTTACTTTGCCTCCTGTGCTTGGAATTCCTTTGATTTTTTCTTTCAACTTTGCTTCATCCAGTTGAGCCAATAAGCGGAGGTTCGGAGGCGCTGGTTCCATCCTTTCCTCTGTGTTGCTGATCAGAGCGGGAAGAACCCCGTTCTCACCTCCGTCCCAGGGAAGTACGGCTGTGGTTAAAAGTGATGCCAGGATATTCTTGCCCCTCTTTTTCCTATATTATATTAATGTTAGTTCCCAGCAATGGGAAATGGGTAATCCTAATGCTGATGAGTTGGAAATATTTGAATCCAGCCCTGCACAATTTGGAGAGTGCTGTTGGCCAAGGTAAGAGCAGCTTCAATTCCCTTCCTTCTCCTGCCAATGGAGCCGTTCCTCAGAACGCCCCTGTACCTTTTGAAAACAGCCGCGCTGCGGAGGCTTTTTCGCCTGAACCTTTAACCCCTTTAGGTTTCTGCTGTTCTGTTCCTTCTTTTAATTGGCCAAATGAAAACTGGACCCCCAAATCTGCTTTTGCAATTGTTGATTTCTCTGCCTTGCTTAGTCTAGCTCAGGCTGCACTCTTGAGGGACTGGCTGCCGTTGCAACTTCCGCTGAACTTCAAGGCAGACAGAGGTGGCTTTTCTGAATTGATCCAAAGGGAAGAAG